CTGCCTGTAAGTCTTCGAGTTTGTGTGACATTATAGACGTATATCATCTGCAAAATCCAGATCTTCTAGAGTCTTCTTATTGGTCGTCCAGCGTATTCCTATTTCCTCACTTCCTATTGTAAGACTATTCTACGCTAACTAGTTTAAGGACAGAGTAAAATAATTGTGAATATGTCGACCAATTTACGTATACCAAGCTGTTGTCTTCTACATACTAGCAATGTTAGCCAACATAGGATTGGAGGTAGTCAAATCAATACTTACCATCAGTTCATGATGTTGTAATTATTACTTTTAGACGATAGCGGGTGCTGGAGGTACACTGTTTAGCTGGAGTCTTCAATAGTCTAACCACTCTAAGAAAGAATCGATAACTGGAAACTTTGTGATATATAGGTCAAAATTAATCTCAGTAGCACACATGTATTCACTTTTTGTAATTTTTTCCTTCTCCTGCATGTTTTTCTCTTGTCTCTCTGTCTTTTCGTGTACTAAAGTGAAGTGTTTAACTGGTGGATGGTGACTAGCAGTGGAATCCAGCCAGGATGCGCACTTCGTCCTATTTAGGACTCGTCAGCTAACTGGATGTACCTCCATTCTCCAGCCATTGAGTGGTGATGTTCCCACCGCCGAGACTCAGACCCAGTTTCCATAGTGTCAAACTCCGAAGCGTTATCCGATAGACCACTTGGGAAACGAGAGCCACCTCTTGCGCAATGGGTCATGTTAATTTAATTTTAGATTTTCCCGTCGATTGATTGGACTGAAGTTCTCGGTCTCAGGTTGACACGTTGGCTTCCTGTGTAGAAGCTTCGACAATGTCTGGGCATGTAGTTAGAACTTAACTAGTGGATGGTGACTAGCAGTGGAATCCAGGATGCGCATTTCGTCCTCTTTGGGACTCATCATTGCGCACTGGGTTCGAGTCTCGGTGGGAACATCATCACTCAGTGACTGGAGAATGCAGGTACATCCAGCTGGAGGATGAGTCCCAAATAGAACTAAATGCGCATCCTGGCTGGATTCCACAACATCCACCAGTTAAATTTTAACTACATATGCAGACATAATCGAAGCATCTGCACAGGAAGCCGACATGTGTTAAGTTAAGCTGTTACACTTCTTTGCAAAATTGAATGTTGAAAGTCAGTCAGTCAGTTAGAAACTCGTTAAATGGCCTGAAAAGCGTGCGAAGGGTGAAAGGGTACTAGAGAATTAGATAAAACGGTAGTTTCATAGAAAAAGCCTACATCAATGAGTTATCTGTGCTCACGATTTCCCCAATGGTTGTATACGCAGATGACTTAAACATGTAGAAAGAGTTGAAGGGCAGCGGTGATACTCTCAAGTTACAAAGGGACCTCAACAAATTATTAGATTGGTCCAAAGAATGGTTGCTCCCGATAAACAGAGCTAAGTGTGCAACCATACGCATTGGACACACAAGCATCAACTCCTACGAACTAGAGGGAATAAAACTTCCATTGGTTTAGACTCATTTGTATTTAGTTGTCATAGTAAGTCATGATGTAAAAAATACAGCACATTGTGGCGCTGTGGCTGCACGTAGTTTAATCTCTTTACTGGGCAATTTTCTGAGCCTTTACTCGAATCACCAGAGATATGTTCACCTCCTTATATATATATATATATATATATATATATATATATATAGTGAGATCAAGACTAGAAAACTGTATCCAGGCAGCCAGTCCTTGACTAAAAGGGGACTCACACATTCTAGAAAGGGTTCAAAGGAAGGCAACACGTATGGTTCACGGCATGACTAATTTATCATACGAGGAATGACTAGACAGTTTAAATCCCTTCTCCCTATCATACCTTAGGCAGAGAGGAGATTTGATCACAATGTTTAAAATTTTAAATAATGACTACGGAGCTGATCTATTCTCTTGCTTGCATACAGCTGGGTTGGAACACCTTAGAGGACATATCAGGAGATTTGAAAAGCAAAGGAGAAACTATATTGCTGTGGAATACTGGTTCTCACACTGAGTCATAAACTCCTGGAATCGACTCCTAGAAGAAATGGTGTCAGCACCCTCAACTGACTCATTCAAGAAGGGTTTGGACAAGCACAGAAATTTAAAACAACAAAAGGATTGGCATAGGCTTCAAGTCTTCTATCCTCAATCAATAAATTTGAATCTGAATCATACGGTGGCCATTCCTTAGGGCCTTAGTGGCTGAATGATCTACAAGCTTGCCTTATAGCTAGAACGTCCTGTGTGCGAAACTCAGGGGATGCATACTGCCAACGAGTGCCGCGTACTTTCAGCTTAACCAGTCGATTTAAACACTGATGGTCGTCGTTTAATGATAGTAAAGACTACAGGTTATGTCATTTTGCAATTTTAATTACTAGAGACACTATAACATCTGTTTCCTAGATCCTCCTCTGCTGTGCTCACTGAAGCTGGTGTCCCCCAAGGCGCTATACTTTCCCCACTTCTCTTTCCTTTCTTTCTACATGACTTACCATCTTCAAATGAAATTAATTTTGTTAAATATGCTGACGACCTGACTGTATCTTTGCCTGTCAAAGTGACTGCTTCAAACTAAATGGCTTTTTATCAGAAATCAGCCAGTGGTCCAAGGAAAACGGTCTTACCTTAAATCCCTCTAAATGTCTGATATGTATCCACATGATGTGTGTTTTGTTTTTGACAGTCTATTATATTTTGCTATGTGTAAATGGATCGATATTTCATTATAACTGACAATATGCTTTTGTCTGTCCACTAACTAAATAAACAATGTATGATCTTGTTATCACATGACATTACAACCAATCGTGGTAAGACGTTATCTTATTGGTTCATGTGTAGTAGCCATTTTCATATATACTCTTGCTTTATCATTCTTGTTCATTCTTCTTGCTCCCACGTTTCATACATCTAAGTACCCTTCCACTCACACTCTTGTATGACATTTATTTTCCTTGTCTGGAAAATACAAGTATCATCGTAAACCTGGTGGTCTTCTGATTTCCCTCTTTCCGCGTCAGGACTATTAACTACTCGACCAGTACATAACATAATTGGCGATGGGGAGAACTCGAATAACTCACTCAGCAGCAGTACATAACAATGTCAAACAGTTAATTTCACCTTTAGGCACAAATCTGACCTAAACAAACTGGTTAACACTCACGAGGTGTGCAGCATAGATGGCACTGAAATAGAAACCAAGTCGGAAATTAAATATCTTGGCGTCATTCTATCTTCTGATCTTTCCTGGTCGTCTGATATCTCGATGATTTCTAAGAAAATATCCCATCTTACCTTCTACATCAAGAAGTTAAGACATTCTGGAATAACCCAACACATACTCCCATGATTCGTTAACTCTCGTATTCTGCCTATTATTCTCTATTATTCCCCTTATTTTTTCCAGGGCTACTGAAGAAACACCATATCTTATTACGTGGGATGTTAAACGTTGTCAGCAGGGTAAGCAACGTGCCACTTAACCAGCTTGTTAATATCCTGGTCAACAGGCAGTTGGACTCATGTGCAAAATGGGCTAAATTTATTTTGTCTAACCCACGCCACCCTCTTCATTCACAACTCTCCTCTTGTATCTCATCAGGGAAAACCAGAAGCCTATATAGAAAACTATATGCCCGCACTAGTAAGTACAAAAACTCAACTATACCCTACCTAGTTCGTGTTCTGTGTGATAAAGAAAGCATTAGATGTCAAACCTTTAACTTATTAAATAGTCAGTAGAACAACTGGATCTCGTCTTTCCAACTCATATCATTTGTAGGTACAACGTTTCCTTTCTTTCTTTTCCTTTTCTCTCTCTTTTTCTGTTATGTGCTGCTTTGTTTCTCTCTTCCTTACAAACTCTACTTAAAACATTCTTGTTCGTTCTTCCACACTCTGTATATCTCGACCATTTTTGCTATCGCTTACGCCAGTCAATAAGCTAGTAGTATCTACTTTTCTAACACCTTCAAACTTTCTGTTCACTTTTGGCTTTGCTACCGACATGCCAGTATGTTGTTGTCAAAATTAACTGAGACTACGCTTAATCTATGTAGAATTTTATTTATGGTTAGTGTACAAGCTGGATGTGATACTGTAGTGAAATGCTGAGAATTCCATTCTGTATCACAAGTACTCTTTGGGAATAAAGCAAATTATTTTTATTATTATTCACGATTATTTTTTTTAAATTTTTGATTACAGCTTGATTCCACACCGTATTTTTTGGTACAAGTATGGAATTTTCAGCGTGGATATCGGTAGCCCAAATTTTGCAGGCCGACCATAGGTGTGCGTCGGCAGGGGATCGAACCTCGGACCCTGTGCATGATCGGCGAGAGTCCTAACCACTGTGCCACTGACTCACAATCTCTCTTTAAGCCTTTTTATTCATATCCTTTAACTGAACATCGAACTATTACTCTATGACCTTACCAGTGTTCGAACCTAAGACCTTCAGGTGACACGGCGAGCTCATCGACCACTCATCCTCTTCTACGGAGTTCAATTCTAGCTTCTGTCATTCCGCAATATGTACCACAATAACCAGACGATGCCATCAGCCAGTATCTATCCTCATACTCAACTTGTTAGACCCCACTGGTCACGATTTCTCACTAGACTACCGGCACTATTTTCTCCACTCACTACACACACACCTTTACTCCTTACTATTTTACTTTTGGTGGGTTGCGTTATGGTATAATTAATGAAATTGCGGGTCTATGGACAGCTAATTTACGCTTCAGCCATTGGCTTAAAAACAGCCTAAACTTCTTTCGATCTAGTCTGCATCTAGGCAGCCGGACAGTGTCTTCAGCTCTCACATATTAGGTGTATAAACACGAATAACCATTCAGTAACGTCCCTCTTTGTCTCTTTGCGTTTTTCGACTCCTAGAATATTATATATCCTAATGTTTACGATCACTGGAAAGCTTTGTTAGGACAGAAAAAAGACAAACCACTGAACATATTTTACTCCATTATTTGAAATTTTTATTTCATATATACTTATTGACGAACAGTTTACACAGAGTTACACTGTTATTTGACAACGAAGCATCATTTAAACACCAATTAATTTCCTGGCACAGAAACACCCTGAAGATATATTGTAAGTGGTCCAGAATTAGTGTTCAGCGTGCCTGGTTCTAAGACTTGTCCAGGTTGAAGATTAATATTTTTTTCTAGTACTTCTGTTTTTTGACCATTTGGACCGATGATAATAAATTTCACCTTCTTCTTACTGTTCTTCATCGTGGTATCCGTTTTCTTTGTATGCTGATCAGTAGCATTATTTGTTGTCGTCATTGTCTTCTTGTTGTGGTGTACCTTCAAAGGAATTCGAAGTTTATGTTGTCTAGTGTTCGGCAGTGTTTTATCAGTACGAGTTGGTGGTTGAATCTGAGGCGGTGTCGTTACAGTTTGTGTCGTTTGTGTATTCACTGTTGGCAGTATCACTTCCTGTTCTTCATTAGACACCTTTGCGATAACTGGCTTTTTAGGCGCTGGCACTTTTACTTTATGATTATCATCAGACAATGGTAAAATACTGAATGAAGGTTCTTTGTGTTTACGCATAACATGGGATTGATGTGGTTTTCTATAACTACGGGATCTTAGCTGACTGAACGGCAACAGTTTCATTGGATTATAGATATTGCTTTCTTTGCAGATAAATTCTTTCGGTTCATCACATGGCATTGACTGAAGACTCCATTCCCCTTGACCATTCGTTTGTATATCACTAACAATACAACCTTGAAAGGTTTTTTGTAGAATTTGTCGCCAGCGTTCTTTTTCTGCTAGTGAAAATCGATTATACTCGAAAGGTGTTCGATCTATCCATCGGAGAACAACATATTGAAAGTTGACAAGTTCTGCAAATCCTCCTAACCATATTTTATTTGGTTCAATTGATCCAAAGTGTTTTGATAGTATTTTCTGCAATATAGAAAAGGCAAAGGTGTTTAGCGTAGTTAGTTTACTAAATAGAATAATTATTCATATTTATACTAAAAAATAGTATAGTTGAGAATTAGAAATGGGTGTTTTGTAATTCTCTTCTTACATTTCGAATGCTGTATACCTATTCAGTCTATCCCAGATAAAAAAATTAGGGGTTTTTGGGGGGAGAGAATTCCGGGGTTTCTGGGGGTGGTTTTGAAGTAGATCTAGAGTTTTTCTCGGAGAAAAGTATCGATAAACCACAAAAAGATGGACCAACACAAAAAACTTGGAGGATCTGAACTTCACCCATGATGATACATATCTGATTTCCCACAAACTAGAAGACATGCAAGTGAAAAGCAACAAGTTGCCAGAAGAAGCATCCAGGGAACATAGGAAGAATTCCAGGTGAACATAGAGAAAACAGAGGTGATGAAGATTCCTGCCGAACAACAACAGAAACAACAGTCAGCATAAATGGGAGGAACCTGAAAGAAACAACCTCCTTCACTGACCTACCTGGGAAGCATCGTTTCAACTACAGACGGACGGAATTGACGAGGATATTAAAGCCAGAATCGGGAAAGCAAGGCAAACTTTCATTACTCTCAAGTCTGTGTGGAGGTCAGCAGCACTCAGAATGAAAAATAAGTTCCGGATTTTCAACTCCAATGTGAAGTTAGTCATTGCTACTCTATAAGGATCAGAGACTTGGCCAGTGCGTCATAAAGAGCACCTCAAACAAACTACAGACCTTCATTAACAGATGTCTTCCCTCAATACTCAAGATCACATGGCCAGAAAAGATCAGAAACGGGGGCATTTTGGGGAGAGAACCAACACAACAGGAACCATTTGTGCAAGAAATAAGCAGGAAGAAATGGAGTTAGGTGGATTGGCCACACTCTGACGAAACCATCAAGTGACATCACACGCCAGACCCTCTGTCGAGTAGAACCTGAATGGGAAGTGGCGAGTTGGTCGTCAGTGCAAGGGTGACTTGGAAAAGATCATGTGAAGAGGACATAAAAGCATGTGGGCAGACTCGGAGCCAGGTGAAAACTTTAGCAGAGAACCGAACGCAATGGAGACGTGTGGCTGAAGCCCTATGTTCCTCTAGGAATTAAAGGAAATAATAGTAATAATAACAACGAAATCGTGATTGACTGTCAGTTAGCAACCGTCTGTTCTTGATGTTTTGTCAAATTAGTTGGGAATATTTATTCAACACAAAATGATTTAAGGACCAAATTGAGCTCCTTAACCAACGGTATAAACATATGTGTGGAGAAGTTAAACTATAGCAGCCATACTCATTAACCTTACTAGTGAGGAAATAATTGGAATTAACTAGCGATAAAAGTCTCGTTATATTCTAAGATCCCTTTGTGTTTCTGAAATCATGAGTCAGGCATCCACAAGGTGACGCGGAAGAAACCGTGTGAAGAGGAGATTCGAGCTTATCGGCAATCATAGGGTCAACTAGACAGAGAACTGCAGAGGTTCTCCTGAAGACGTATATGCCACTCGGAACCCAAGGGAACAATAATAATAATTATAATAACACAATTAATAAATTCATTCAAAAGTAATTAATCCACTTACCCATTCATCTTCTGATTGTATAGATGTTAAATGTGAATCTGACGTAAATGCATGATTACAATAACTTTCAGCTTGATAGTAAGGTAACTTCAAACCGAGAACATGCATGTACTTATTACCATGATATTGAACAGTTTTAACTTGTTCTACACTTGGTTCCTCAGCATATCCACGATCAGATTCATACATTGAACGATGAAAATGTTGATGACCCTCAGGGTTCTTCGGCATCAGTTGATTTTGAGGATACCATGCAAGTGTAAAATAAAGCATTTTTGTAAATAATATCATTAGTATGCTTGATATTTTCATTATCTGATCTATTCTTGACATGTTAAAGTGTTCAAATGAAGCCCTTCTTTATTTTTTCTTCTCTTTTTATTGCCTTCACACAGTCTGCCTGAGTTGTAGTTAGTTGCATAATTAATCAATTTTTATGAATTATAATTAAACTGATTGGTTGATCTTGTTTAATGTTTTCTGATGAACGGTAATCACAATTTTATTTTTTTGATTCATATAAATGAATGACTAATAATAAGGCAGTCAGAAATCCAGGGTGGGCTGAAAAAGAATGACTGACTGCCTTTTAGCCTCCCACCCCCGCTACCTCATAAAAACTAATTGGAATGCTATTGGTCTAGAAATGGTGTACTGACTGCTAACCTTAATCGAATAAAATCGATACTGTAATATAGAGGTAATATGAAGCTGCCCAAGTGTGAATATACTGACTATGCTTAATTCATTTAATGAAGTGATTCTGTACTGGTAAAGTTCAAATTTAAATATCCAAGAGGCGCTAACACTCTGAAAGGTAGATCTGGTCCTCTAACTCAACCCTAATCTTACTATTTAATTGAATTTTTTTAGATTTTCCCGCCGATGGGTTGGGCTGAAGTGCTTGATCTCAGATTGACATGTTGGCTTCTTGTTCAGATGCTTCGACGATGTCTGGACATGTAGTTAGAATTTAATTGAAAACATTAATTTCGCGATATGAATTTAAAACAAGCAATAAAGGTTAATAAAGCAGGATTTAATGAATTCATCAAATTTCGGTAGAACTCGTCAGCTGAATACTTTACATACGCGGATATATATATATATATATATATATATGCTTTTGAAATTACATTGGGAGATATAAGACTGATAAGTAAACAAACTACATTGAATTAGTCATGCAGAAAGACACGTGCGAATGTTTTACAGGTCATGTTCAAATAGATAAGGCGAGAGAGAGAGAGTATGAGAGATCAAAATTAAGATAAATTGCATTACGCTCCAATTACATCACTTAGATAAACAATAACTCATTAGGGAATATAACGAGAATTGCAAGCAGACTAATATCAATAGTAACAATTATGATAACAATAATAATAGTGTTGAAGTGAGTTAAGATAATCTTACTGACAAAGCATAGTTTTAAATGAATCAAGAATAATGATGATAATAATAAAAATAACAATATTAATAATAAGAAGAGGTAGAATAATAGTAATAACAAGTAGAGAATAAAACGTATTACCATGGTAGATTCAGAGTCACGACCATCTCCTTTTGTATACAGAGAGCTGGTTTCTAAATTCGAATTGTACAAGACTCTGCAATTGCAAGCATCTTGCTGTTTCATTGTCTGCTGACAATAGTGAATGACTTGACCGCGTCGATATCATGTCCACAGTCCTCAAGATGTTTTGTTATTGAGGATTTTAGCACTTTGCACTCAGATGTTTTCAACTATTTTGGCAAATGGTCCATCATGCGAGTAGACAATCGCCTTTCCGTACGACCTATGTATTTGCTGCCACAAACACACTCAAACTGATATACGCAATTTGGAGTGTCGATGATTGGTGACTGGTCTTTCCCAGATTGTTAGCAGCACTCGCTTAGTGGTGATGTTAAGGATAACAAGTTTTGTAGCATAATAATAAGTTCTGTTGATGGCTTTGTCGAGTCTTCGTTTCACTACTTCCTGTACGTTATCTCCTTTGAACGGCAAATTGATATAGACAAGTTTCTTCGGAACTGTTTGAATTGTTTTGCACAGGCTAGTTTCTTTAGAGTATTCATTATTGAACTTCTCAGGATATCCATTCTTAGATAAAATATCCTTCAGAAATTTTATTTCATGTTCAATAGTACTTTCAGAACCAATTTTTCGTGCTCTATTGAACAGTGTTTTGACTAAGTTCTTTTTATATTGGATTGGAACAAAGCTCTTGAAATGTATGTACACTGCCCTGTCCATGAAGACTTTCTAAATATAGATCTTTCGATTGTGCCATCATTCATTTTCGCTAGAAAAATGTCTAGGAATTTTATAGTATCGTTTTCCTCGTGTTCTACTGTGAAATTGAGATTTGGATGGCATGAATTGAATTTTATCAACATGTCTTCCGCTTTTGATCTGCTTTCACAGACAATAAAAATGTCATCAACATATCTTAGGTATACATTTGTATCTTGTATATGTTGCTGTAAAGCACCGGTTTCTAGGCGTGACAAGAATAGGTCGGCGAAGAGTGGTCCCAAAGGGCTTCCCATTGAGACACCATCAACTTGACGGAATAGACGTCCGTCGAATTGGAATTGGACATTTTTAGTACATAAAAATAGCAATTTCCACAATTTGGTGGATGGTGACTAGCAGTGGAATCCAGCCAGGATGCGAATTTTGTCCTATTTGGGACTCGTCCTCCAGCTGGATGAACTTGCATTCCCCAGTCACTGAGTGATGATGTTCCCGCCGAGGCTGTAACTCAGTGCCCACAGTTTCAAACGCCAAAGCTTTATCCACTAGACCACTTGGGTCACTAAAGTACATCCAGTTTACCAGTCCCAAATAGGACGAAATACGCATCCTGGCTGGATTCCACTGCTATTCGCCATCCACCAATTAAATTCTAATCTCACTATCTTCCTAAATGAGTTATTATTACTATTATTCCCTTGGATTAAAAGTGAAAAGTAGGCCTTTAACAGTAGATCCTTATTTTGCCTTGTCCATTTTAGGCTACCACCACGATTGCCTCCTTCAGTTTCAATCTCTTCCTCACACAATCTTCTGTATATTGCTGTCAAACGTTCAACTTGTTATTTCCTATTTGGGTTCCAATCGAGTGATGGCCTGAATGAAGCGCGATGTCACCAAATAGTCTTGTCAGAGTGTATCCCGTCCATCTTCATTTTATTCTGTATAATTGTAGAGCAATAGTTTCTTGAGTGGCGCGTCTTGAGAATTACTTGTTGTTAGTTTTTTTTCTGGCTAGCCATTTAATCTTCAATATCAACAAAAGGTAGCTGTTTCAGTGAAAGGCTTCAGTGGCCTCCTGGAAATGCCTTATGTAAGGTGTGAGCCAAGTTTCTTACCCATATAGAAGAGATGGCTGACTTAACATTAGCGTTGAAAAACTGAATCTCCTTCGTTATGCTGAGTGCAGAAGACTTTCAAACTGATTTCAGAATGATTAAGGTCTGCTTCATTTTTTCTGATGCTGACTAGTTTTGACATCTTTATTCGTTCCACCGCCTGTAATTGACACGATGATGCCTATAAAGGGATGAAAGAGGTCACCTCTTTCAAATTTATTTTATCAATAGTGATTGGTGCTTGTTTGGTGGTGGTTGGGTATATTCATCACCTTCGTCTTCCCTATATTCCTCTGGAGTCCTGTCTTCGCTGCCAGCCTACCTCCAATGCCAGTTTGTTGATTTTTGCCTGCAAGTTAGATTTGTGTGACATTAGACATAAATTATGCAAACGCAGAATCCAGATCTTCAAGAGTCCTGACTTCTAGATCTGGTCTGAGTCTAACGGTCTTAAACTGAATCCTTCTAAGTGTCAAACTGTTGATTTCAGCTTAAGATGTAAACGACAGTTAAAAGAAGTCATCGATTCTCATGACAGTTGTAAAATTGACGACAATGATATAGGAATCAAATCAGAAATTAAGTATCTTGGACTCATTCTCTCTTCTGATCTCTCTTGGACTTCCCATGTCTTAGCAATCTCCAGTAAAATATTCCGCCTGACATTTTACATTAAGAAGTTAAGACACTCGGGTATAACTTAACCCCTCCTCTTACAGTTCATAAACTCTTGCATCCTACCTATTCTTCTTTATTGCTCACCCTTATTCTTTCCTGGTTTGCTTTTAAAGGACTATGTCACAATTCGTAGAATACTGAAGACGGTCAGTAGGGTGAGTGGTGTCCCAGTGGACCACATAGTTAACATTGTTGATGATAGGCACTTGACTTCATGCAATAAATTTGCTAAAGGGATTTTGTCTGACTTGGAGCATCCACTTTACCCTCAGCTTTCACCTTGCATCTCCTCAGGTAGAACAAGGAGTAACTTCAGAAAACTGTATGCTCTCACGACGTCGAAGTATAAGAATTCTATGATACCATACTTGACAGCAAGTATTTTATGTGATGAAAATAGCGTCAGGCAAGAACTAACTAACCTTTCTCCCTCATCTAGTAAATAAACAATTTCCTCCATCCATCCTTATATACCTTCAAGTTTTACTTTTATTATTTCTATTATATTTATGGTCCTGTTACTTCTCTGTTTTACTCTCAGAATTGCAAACACCGACTTATCTCCATGACTTCTGTAATCTTTGTTTTTCCCCTCACCATATCATGTAAAGAGAACATTATATTCAATATTTCTAAACATGTTAGGATTTCTATACCGCATTGACAATACTGTGCGACACAAGCCAACGGCAATTTTCACTTGTATTCTTATTATTATTACCCTAGCTGTTATCATTATTATTGTTATTACCATTCCATATGCTGCATGTTTTTGACACTACCTCTATTGTAAATGTGGAAAATTTTCTGTGTGATTAATTTTATTTATAATTTGAGGAAATTAGATGCAATATTGTGATTAATGCTGAAAATTCCAATCTGTATCACAAGTACTGTTTTGGGAATAAAGTAAATCATTATTATTATCCTTACAGGGTGACGCATTATCAAGCCCACCACAATCACAAATGTCATCGGTTATACTACTGAGCAATCTTCTAATCATCCTGTCTTCACTTCAAAGGCATTGCTGAGGCTTCCTTTATGGATCACTTGACACATGGCACTGTCTTATAGCCAGTTGTTAAATGAAGATGATAAAGATTTCGAGCACTGCACGTCATAGCGTTGAAGTAGTTCCTAAATTACTTCTTGTTCAACGCGCTGTTGAAGTCCTTTCCAAAGTCGATAAAGCTAAGGTTTTGTCTAATATTACTGTTGCATTTCCTTTGTCTGATTAAGTGGCTACTATGGGAAGTTAAGCACACTAGTGTGTGTTTACGGGAAACCCACACCCATTCAAACACATATTCGGAGTTCTGATCATCCCATCCTATATGTCAGTGAAAATAGGATTGGTGAAATATCTAAGTAATAGAGCGCAAAAACTAAGTAGTACCAAGGGAAGTCTAAGACAGGAAGTGAGGCACATAAGAGAAGCTTTGAAACTTA